CCCTCTGTGACCTCAGTGTGACCCCGCAGTGTGACCCCGCTGTGACCTCTCTGTGACCCCACAGTGTGACCTCGTGGTGACCCCAGTGTGACCCACTGGGCTGTTACCGGGCCGGTACCGGACGCTACTGGGGCTGTTACCGGGCTGTAACCGGGCTTTACCGGACCGTACCGAGCCGAACCGAGCCGGTACCGGGCGCTACCGGGCCGTACCGAGCAGTTACCGGACGGTACCGGGCTCTTACCGAGACGCACCGGGCTGTCACCGCGCTGTCACCGGACGGTACCGAGCTCTCACCGGGCCGTACCAGGCCGTACCGAGCCGCACCGAGCTGTACCGGGCTGTTACCGGGCCGTACCAGGCTGTCACCGCGCTGTCACCGGACAGTACCGAGCTCTCACCGGGCCGCACCGAGCTGTACCGAACTGTTACCGGGCCGTACCGGGCTGTCACCGCGCTCTCACCGGACCGTACCGAGCTGTTACCGGACGGTACCAAGCTCTCACCGGGCTCTCACCGGGCTGTCACCGCGCTCTCACCGGGCCGTACCGGGCTCTCACCGGGCTGTCACCGCGCTGTTACCGGACCGCACCGCGCTGTTACCGGACGGTACCGAGCTCTCACCGGGCTGTCACCGGGTTCTCACCGGGCCGTACCGGGCTCTCACCGGACGGTACCGCGCTCTCACCGCGCTCTCACCGGGCCGTACCGGGCTCTCACCGGGCTCTCACCGGGCCGTACCGGGTTCTCACCGAGCCGTACCGAGCTCTCACCGGGCTCTCACCGCGCTCTCACCGCGCTGTCACCGGGCTCTCACCGCGCTCTCACCGGGCTCTCACCGCGCTCTCACAGCGCTCTTACCGGGCTCTCACCGCGCTCTCACCGGGCTCTCACCGCGCTCTCACCGCGCTCTTACCGGGTTCTCACCGGGTTCTCACCGGGCTCTACCGGGACCGTCCCGCGCACTCCCCGCTCCCCACCGACCTCTTCCGGTTGCGCTCCTCAGGCTCCGCCCCTTCCTCCTCGTCACCGCCAGCTGATTGGCCCATCTGCCGCGAGGGGGCGGAGTTCTTTCCGGGCGGCCACGCCCCTCTGGCGGCGATCGCGACCTCAGGCGGCGCCGCAGCGCGGTGACTTACGGCAGCCCATAGCAACGGGAGCTCCGTAGAAACGGGGGGGTCGTAGCGACGTGTTTCCATAGCAACGGGGCACGTTGCGGCGAGGGCGCCATGGCAACGGGGGCCATGGCAACGGGGTCCATAGCAACAGGGGTCCATAGCAACGAGGACCATGGCAACGGGGTCCATAACAACGAGGACCATGGCAATGGGGCCATGGCAACGGGGGCCATGGCAACGAGGGTCCCTAGCAACGGGGATCAGGGGCCATAGCAACGGGGACCATGGCAACGAGGACCATGGCAATGGGGCCATGGCAACGGGGGCCATGGCAACGAGGGTCCATAGCAACGGGGTGCATAGCAAAGGGGTCCATAACAACGGGGGCCATGGCAACGGGGATCATAGCAACGGGGTGCATAGCAATGGGGGTCCCTAGCAACGGGGACCATAGCAACCGACGGCTCCCCGTCGTCACCCCAATGTCCCCCTAGAGGTGGCACTGTCCCCATCCCTGTCCCCATCATCCCGTGTCCCCAGAGAGTGGCAGACCCCCGTGTCCCCTCCGTGTCCCCCCAGTGTCCCCATCACTGTCCCCCCAGGTGTCCTGCAGGGTGACAGCCGGACGTGGCCGGTGGCACAGGGGATGTGGGGACACGGCGATGGCACTGGGGACATGGCGGTGGCACTGAGGACACCGTGGTGGCACCGTGGTGGCACATTAGCGCGTCCCTGTGATCGGGTTGTGACATTGGGGACACTGTGGTGACACCGTGGTGGCACAGTGGTGGCACAGTGGTGACACCGTGGTGGCTCATTAGTGTCCCCCTGTGATCAGGCCGTGGCACTGGGGACATGGTTGTGACATTGGGGACACTGTGGTGACACCGTGGTGGCACAGTGGTGGCTCGTTAGCAAGTCACTCTGATCAGGCGGTGGCATGGGGACACGGTGGTGGCACAGTGGTGGCACAGTGGTGACGTTGGGGACACCGTGGGGGCACAGTGGTGGCTCATTAGCGCGTCCCTGTGATCAGGTGGTGACATTGGGGACACTGTGGTGACACCATGGTGGCTCATTAGTGGCCCCCTGTGATCAGGCGGTGACATTGGTGACACCGTGGTGACATTGGGGACACTGTGGTGACACCGTGGTGGCACAGTGGTGGCTCGTTAGCGCGTCCCTGTGATCAGGCGGTGTCATTGGTGACACCGTGGTGGCACTGGGGACACCGTGGTGACATTGGGGACACCGTGGTGGCTCATTAGTGTCCCTCTGTGATCAGGCCGTGACATTGGGGACACCGTGGTGGCACTGGGGACACCGTGGTGACATTGGTGACACCGTGGTGGCACTGGGGACACCGTGGTGACATTGGTGACACCGTGGTGGCACTGGGGACACCGTCATTAGTGTCCCCCTGCGGTCAGGCCGGGGCCACCAGAGGTCACCGGGCAGCGCCGTGGTGGCACCTGGGGGCTGGGGACACCGGGGGCTGCGGGGGGACACGGGGAGGGGAGGGACAGTGCCACCTCCTTGGGGACATGGGGACGGGGTGGGGACACTGCCACCGCCATGGGGACATGGGGACAGTGCCACCACCTTGGGGACATGGGGACACTGCCACGGGGATAGGGGTGGGGACACTGCCACTGCTATAGGGACAGTGCCACTGCCATGGGGACAGTGCCACCCCTTGGGGACATGGGGACAGCGGTGGGGACACTGCCACCGCCATGGAGACAGTGCCACACCTTGGGGACATGGGGACACTGCCATGGGGACAGGGGTGGGGACAGTGCCACCGCCATGGGGACAGCGGTGGGGACACTGCCACCGCCTTGGGGACATGGAGTGACAGGGAGGGACAGTGCCACTACCATGGGGACAGGCATGGGGACACTGCCACCACCTTGGGGACATGGAGACAGGGGTGGGGACAGTGCCACCGCCATAGGGACAGTGCCACTGCCTTGGGGACACAGGGTGATGGGGACAGGGGACACTGCCACCACCATGGGGACAGGGGTGGGGACACTGCCACCTCCTTGGGGACATGGGGACAGTGCCACCCCCTTGGGGACAGGGGTGGGGACAGTGCCACCGCCATGGGGACAGGGGTGGGGACACTGCCACCGCCTTGGGGACAGTGCCACCTCCTTGGGGACAGGGGTGGGGACACTGCCACCTCCTTGGGGACATGGGGACAGTGCCACCCCCTTGGGGACAGGGGTGGGGACAGTGCCACCGCCATGGGGACAGGGGTGGGGACACTGCCACCGCCTTGGGGACAGTGCCACCTCCTTGGGGACAGGGGTGGGGACACTGCCACCTCCTTGGGGACATGGGGACAGTGCCACCCCCTTGGGGACAGGGGTGGGGACAGTGCCACCGCCATGGGGACAGGGGTGGGGACACTGCCACCGCCTTGGGGACAGTGCCACCCCTTGGGGACATGGGGACAGTGCCACCACCTTGGGGATAGGGGTGGGGACACTGCCACTGCCATAGGGACATGGGGTGACAGGGAGGGACAGCGCCACCGCCTTGAGGACATGGGGACAGTGCCACCGCCACGGGGACAGGGATGGGGACAGTGCCACCGCCACGGGGACATGGGGACAGTGCCACTACCATGGGGACAGGCATGGGGATACTGCCACCTCCTTGGGGACATGGGGACAGGGGTGGGGACACTGCCACTGCCATGGGGACAGTGCCACCCCCTTGGGGACAGGGATGGGGACAGTGCCACTGCCATGGGGACAGGGATGGGGACAGTGCCACTGCCATGGGGACAGGGATGGGGACAGTGCCACTGCCATGGGGACAGGGATGGGGACAGTGCCACCGCCACGGGGACACAGAGGGGACAGGGAGGGGACACGGGGGTCTGGCAGCCTTTGGGGACACGGGGACAGGGACGGTGACACCCGGCAGAGCCGGGCCCAGGTGTGTCCCCACCCCTTCCCCCGTCCCCTCCCCTCCCAGG